TTTTTTTTTTTTTGAGACAGAGTCTTGTTCTGTCTCCCTGGCTGGAGTGCAGTGGTGTGATTTTGGCTCACTGCAACCTCCGCCTTCCGGGTTCAAGCAATTCTCCTGCCTCAGCCTTCTGAGCAGCTGGAGCTACAGGTGCCCACCACCATGCCTGTCTAATTTTTCTAGTTTTAGTAGAGACAGAGTTTCACCATGTTGGCCAGGCTGGTCTGGAGCTCCTGACCCCAAGTGATCCACCCTCGTTGGCCTCCCAAAGTTCTGGGATTACAGGCATGAGCCACCACCCCTGGCTCATCTCACTTGTTTTTATTCATGTTTCATAAATGTAGGTATTGCTCACATTTATTTTGATATTTAATATTAGAAATGCTTTAGTCTTTATTTAGAAGTTTGGTGATGCTTTCATAACCAGAAACACGCCATAGAGGCTTAACTCGTTTATATCAATTAGACTATAGTAAAATTGGTTTTGTTATATGTCCTTTCAAGTGGCGTAGTCATATTTTCCAACAACTTACTGATGACATCAAGTGAGGACTTACTGTACAAAGAGAGCTTCCTCTTTATTTTTCATTACAGCCCAGCGTGGTATTCTGGTGTAAGGACGTGCTAGTTTATTTCACCAGTCCCTTATTAGTGGACATTTGAATTATTTCTAGTCTTTTTTGCTAGTACAAACAATGCTAAGATGAGTCAACAGGCACACACATATGTGCTGGCACATCCTCAGCATAAACTGCAGAAGCAGAGCTGCTGAGGCAAAGGGCACCTGCGGGCATGCTTTTGGCACATGCTGCCACGTGGCTCTCTGCTGAGTGGCATCACTCTACACTCCCACCAGCACATGTGAGGGCCAGAGGGCCAGTTTCCCATGGGAGCCAGGGTCTTTAATCCTCATGTCACAGATGGGGAAACAAAGGCTCTGAGCGAGACAAGTCTAGGACTGCCCAACTCCAGAACCCAAGCTGTTTATAAACCAACTGGGGAACTAGTGATAAAACAGTTAAGCCACAAAGTGGAAGAGGGAGAAGACTGGGGGAGGGACAAAGAGAAGAGTGGCAGTCTTGCCAAGACAGAGAACTTACGCAGCCACATCCTCACCTTATGGATCATTAAGAAACTGTACATGAAGACGTTTATAGGTAAGTTGTATTTTCACAACTAGGGGAACACTCTGAGCCCGTGGGCTGGAAAAACCAGGGTGAAGGCTGGGTATAGCCCATAATTCCCAACTACTGCTTCTTGCTCCATTTCTAAAAACTCTCTCAATAGCTAGAGATCTCCCACACCCTTCACTAAAGGGTGTCATCTTGAGACAGCGTGCTGGAATAAGATGATGGTGGGGCAAGGGAAGGGTGCAAACAAATTATCCCTTTGTTTTGATGATGTATTTTTTGTCTTGTCTGGACCTCATTATTCAAAAAAGAAGGTATGTATTTATCCTGGAGAAATGGGAATGGTAAGCTATTACAAACAATTCAATTGACATCCCTAAGTAACTTACAAGGATACACACAAACCCAAACTAGGTTAGTAGTGTGGCCAAAGTACCTTGAGCAACCAAGTAAGAAGGTCTGAAATTCAATGGTTTTCATGGAAATGGTACTTCTGTAAAGACGGAATGCAGGTAGTTACTTTCTCAGGCTGGATAAATAGTCCCTTCATAATTTATTAATCTGCCTGACAAATCATGCTTTTTCCTCTGTACGATACAAATTTATTATGAGAACCAAGACAGACACGTGAAAAAAAAAATAAAAACCAATCTATAATGCATTCAAAACTATCTATGAAATGTTAACAAAATGCAAAGAAAGCAAGAAATCAATTGAGATGGAGACGACTGGGGAAAACCTCTTGAAGTAATGACAGAAGACAAACCACTTTTAAAACAGCAATCATGTCGAAGAAAACACTGGCCCAGGCTATGATAAATGTCCAAGTTTTGGATTCCTAGGTCTCAACCCTGTCTGCATCTCCCAGGTGGCCATCTATAACACCGCATGAAGACCTGGTCTTCATTTCCATACACCTGAGATTTTACATATCATTCCTTCTAACCCTCTGGGATAGGGATGGAGTAGGGGGATTCAGTTTGGACCTTCTAGTAAGACAGCGTATCCTTCTCAGACTGGTGAATAGCACTTGCTGTGTTGGACCCACACTGTCTCCCAGGTCATCAGCTTTAAACAATCTGCTAATGTGGGGTCTCCCTGTTCTTATATCACACATTTTACAGTGTTCCTGGAGACTAGTAGTTCCACGATGGGGCGGAGGCCCCAGTCTTCTCCCAAGTGAAGGAGGTACCAGGAGGCTGGACTGAATAACAGGAGGCATCAGAGAACAGACAATGAACTCAACCCTCCCCTCTGAGAAAAGTCTGTACACACCAAAACTGCCCTGTCCATTGTCCAAACCAAGAGACAAGGCACATAAGCTTTAGGATATTCTAGGGACCATCTGGACTTTGCTATTAAAATCCTCTGTCAGTTTCCAGAACCTGCAGAGGCTGTATGATCCACCAGATATAATTAGGAGTGATGTAGCCTTGGCTTACTCTTGCCCTACAGTAAAAATACGCCCACGAATCACACATGCGGTAACACAGACTCTAAGCCTGGACATCTGAACCTTCTTGATATATGCTGCATCACCCTAGGATACTCCTGTCACAGCTGCTGGGCTTCCTCCCCCTTGTTTC